GTTGTGTGTCTCCATAATGATGTCTCAGTGTCTCAGTGCTCCCCTGCTTCCACTCCTGGGCTGGATGTTTGAGTAGAGCTGGTGGGATGGCCCTTCCCCTCCCCGCCCTCCCCCCCTGCCCTGTCCCAGTCCCTTCCTGCAGGCATGGCCTCAGGGCCGTGTCAGCCTGGAGGCTGGCTGAGGCAGAGGCATGCCCGGGTGCTCAGTGCGCGCTCCTGCAGTCTGATCATTCCATGATGACAGCCGAGGCCGGCTAGTGGAGTGCAGGCAGTCCACAGAGGAGGGCCTCACCCCACGCCCTCCCACCTTGGCGCTGAGACCCCAGCTCATCCTACCTTCTCAGAGGAATTTGAACCAAGCTGGGCGTGGCTGGCATTGACCTCGGGGCGTGCCCTGCCCTGTTCTGCCTCTGGCCTGGGGAGTTTTCCTCACGTGCCCCCAGCCCGCAGCCCTGCAGGCTTTCCCCTGGCCTCCTTGCCCACATGCCACCTCTGGCTGGGGCAGCTGGTGCTGGGGCCGGGCCCAGGGTCAGCATGGTGCAGATCTGTAAGCCACATTTGTTCCGGGGGGGGCACCATGCGTGTCCTGTTGGTGTTCCAGGCACAGCTTCTGCTGCTGTTGTCCTGGGAGTGCCACCCACGGGGACCACTTCATGTGTGTGACTTAACAGTGACTGGATGGCTCCCAGCTGCCCAGAGGGGACACAGAGGCTGCAGGGAGCACTGTCATGTCCTGGCCCTTCCTGCTGTGGCCACTGCCACCCCCCCTTAGTCCCAGCAGTCGGAAAGACTGGAGGGTGGCACCCTGGGGACTTCCCCCACCCCGGGCGTGACGCACAGGAAACTCTCTATCAGCCAGCCCCATGGCTCAGGGCCGAAGGGAGCAGAGTTCTCAGTTGGCCTGTGTGGGGAGAGGGCAGGGGCAGCGCGGGCTTCCGGCGGGTGAGTCAGCGGGCACCAGGCGCTGACTCACCCGCCGGGCATGCCAGCCTCCTGCTTGCAGCTTAAAGGGGCATTGCCTGCTGGTCTGGGTGGGGAGTTGGCTGCATGCACCACCTCTGCAGACAGACCTGGCCCTGAGCAGGGTGCTGGAGATGGCCCTGTCCTGGACCCCAGGACCCCTGGCAGGTCCTCCACGCCTTGCCCAGGAACTTCCTCTATTAGGCAGGGGCTCTGTTTCCTCTTGCTTTTGGAGCAGGAGCAGGAGCAGGAGCAGGTGGTGGCTGTGTCTTGCCCTCCGCCCTGGAGACCTCTCCAGCTCAGCCGCGTGGCCAGGGACTTGGAGGGTGAGAGCAGAGGCCATGCAGGGGTGGCCTGGGGGATTGGCCTGAGTCCTGGAAGGCGGCCATGTGCGGAGAGGAGCCTGAGTCTAGGACCACGACACAGCTGAGCCCCGGTTGCAGAGTGGCATTGGTCAGGCGGCACATCCCATCCGTCTGGATGCATTCATTCCACACTCATGGAGGGTCAGGTACTGGTTGCAGCACGGCTGCCCTCTGCTTGAGTAGAATCCAGTCGAGGAACACCTCAGCAGAGCAGGGAGTGGGGAGGAGCCTGCGCTCAGATGGGTGGACCGGGGTTCGAATCCTGCCTCTACTGCTTCCTCCCCTGGGCAAGTCATGGCCCCTCCTTCCCTGGTGGGTGGTAGTGAGGATGGATGGTGCCCACCGAGGAGTGGCGTCTGCTGTTATTCATTGTGCTCATGGCTGTTGGCCTCTGCTGGGGAGATGACCCTCGCAGGCTTTATCGAGGGGACTGCAGGCTCTGACTCGGGGCCTCTGGCTGTGGAGCCTGTTAATGCTGGCTGGAATCTTCAGGCTTTGGGACCTCTTACCCCCTGATCCCCAGGCTGTGGGGGCAGCCACTGGCTTCCTGGCTTTCGGGGAGGCAGTGCAGAAGAGAGCCTGCAGCTCTGGCTCAACGGCTCTGGCAGCCAGCACTGAGGGTGAGGAGGCAGGCGTGGAGTGGGAGCGAGGACCGGCCTCCAGATCAGCCCTTCGGTGGCGAGGACTTGGCTGGCTGTGGGGATGGAGCAGGAGGCCGTGGGGTGGTAGTTCCAGGGCCTGTCCTGAGCCAGGGAGGTTGTGAGGCTGAGTGAGGGGAGCAGGGTGCAGGGCCTGGTGGGGCACGGGACCCTGGGCAGGTGTCTCAGGAGGAGTACCAGCGGGAGAGCGCTGGGAGCAGAACTGGCCACTGTGCTGTGGCTGGAGACCGCCTGCTGGATGGGATGAGGGGTGAGCCTGACCGCAGGCCGCGCACGCCCATCTTCACTCTGAGCTCAGGCCTGCCTCCCCAGCAGCAGCCCTCAGCCTCACGAGCTTCACGTCATGGGTGTGAGGCCCAGGTGGGCTTCTCTGCAGCTCACAGACACCCAGGGTGGCCACATCAACTCCAGAAGGGTCGCTAGGCCTCCCCCCCGAACCCGGCCAAGTCTGTCACCTCTCCCTGCTCCAGGGGTTCCTCTCTGGGGCCGCTCGGGCTTCTCTGGGGAGGTCGCGTGCAGCCCTTGTCACGGTGGTCCCTGGCCCTGGGCAGCGTGCAGACGGCTCTCCTGTTCTGTCCCGGTGGGTGCACCTTCCGTCTCCCCTTTTTTCTTTTAATGAAATATAGCCACAGACACCGAAGGGAGTGGAGAATGCGCCCGTGCCGTTCAGAGTAAAAGTGAAGGGGCCGTGTAACCTGTGTCTGGAGGAAGAAGGCCCCCACTGAGACCCCTCCATGGGCTCAGGCTCTCATCTCAGTCCTTGCCCAGCGCTGGGCCTCGCTTTTGTGGTAATCATTTCTTATCTTTCTCAGTTTTAAAAACTGAGCTGTAACATGCACATGGTACGTCCAGCTGGCCACCCTGCAAAACCCTCAGGCCGGCGTCCACTGGGGGCTGGGGCGGTACTGGTGGGCAGCGATGCAGGGCTGGAGCCAGAGGCCCAGGCAGGTCTGTCTCCTCCACTCTCAGCTGCTGGCCTCAGTTTTCCCCCTGCGTGATAGGGTGGTGCTGAGACCACCTGCAGACCATCCTGAGGGTTCGGTGTGCTCCTCCAGGGAGACGCCAAGCCTGGGCGGGCTCAGATGCAGTGTGTCGGAGTGCTGCCACCCTCCCTCAGTCGTGCGGTGCTCAGCCTGGGCAGCTGTGCGGGCAGACGGTGACAGGCCCGATGGCAGTGGAGGTGTGTGAGCTTCATCAAGGGTCAGGAGGAGCTGAGGGCACAGGAAGGAGTCACCCGCCATGCCTCAGCACCCACTTCCCAGGGTGAACCCGAGGACGCCTGTCCCATTGGGATGCCACAGGAGCGTCAGTGCTGAGCTTGGACCTGGCACGTGGTAGCTGCCTCATCACCAAGCACGCCTTCGTAGCCGCCCCTGCTCCGTGAGGCTTTAATAGCAGAGGTGAGGGTGAAAGCAGGTATGGCACTTGGCGAGGAGAGGGTCACCCGGACCCTCCTATTCTGCATGAGCAGCAGCCCATGGACCTGGGACAGCCTGGCCACCTCGCACCAGCTGGAGCGGGCCCCTTCGGGAGCCGCTGCCGGGCAGAGGCCTGTGCCTGCAGCCACCCTCCCACCACGCTTGTGCTCTGCCGTGCTGCCCCTGCGCTGCACTTTGCTCTGGATCTTTCCGCCCCAGCGAGGCCGTCCATCGCTGTCCCCTCCCCTGCTCCTGAGGCCTTGGTCTGCTGAGTCCACTGTGGTGAGGGATGTGTGGGCTTCCCAGATGAGAAAGGCCCTGGGAGCTGGGTGAGGAGACAGGGAGGTGTGGCTGCCTCCGAGGCTGGTGGGCAGGGAGGAAGAAAGAGCAGGCCGGGAGCGGAGTGCTGGAGGTGCAGCTGGCTGCGAAGCTAGTCGAGGGCAGTCTCAGGTGGGCGCATGGTAGGTGCGCAGTAAGTGACAGATCCCTTCCCCTCTTGCTGCAGCTCCAGACTTTCTCCCCACCGGCCCCTGGACCTGGCAGGATTCACGTGGGGGCAGTTCCCCCCAGCCCGGTGGCGACCGAAAGCCAGCATGGCTGTCAGCTTCAGAGCTGCTGTCAGCTTCAGAGCTCCCTGGCCAGGGGTGGGCAGCCAGTCCTCAAGCTGCCGTCCGACACTGACATGTGGGAGTCAGACAGGCCTGCTCCCCTGTTCTCTGCCCGCCAGGCACCCGCCATGGGACCTTGGTCCGCTTGTCTCTCCTCCCTGACCCACTCGCTACCTGCCACGTGGAAACCTTCCCGCGGCACTGCCAGGAGGGTGCACAGAGGGGTCATCCAGGGTGATGGCCTGGTGTTATCAGGATCCCTGGGCATCCTGCCTAATCTTACACATGCCCGGCACCCCGTGGCATGGGACAGTAATCCTGGGGTCCCATCTCATAGCTGAGGCCCAGAGCCGAGAGAGGTCCAACTCCCAGTACTAGAGTGGCAGCTGGACTGAGGACTCTTGGCCCCAGAATGTGTGACCTATGTATTCCGCTCTCTCCTCCCTGTGGCAGTGGCCACAGAAGGGTCGCTTATGAGAAGGGACAGAAGAGCCAGCAGGACACGGGGGGGCCAGCACCGAGGGGATTTGGCTGGGGAGCCCCTGTGCAGGGGAGAGGCAGGAGGACGCTGCAGGGAAGAGAGGGGCACTGGCCCGGGTGTTGTAGATGCAAAGGCCTCGAGGTGGGAAGGAAGGGGGCTCGTTCCGGGAATGATGGCTCGAGCAGGAGCACAGGGGCCAGGACCGCCATCCTGGGAAGTTACAGACGAGTCTGTGGGTGCCCCTCTCTACCAGAGCTGTAGCCTCAGGCCTGTGGCCGAATCCTCCCAGCCTGGGTTTCCTCGCTGCCTGCCTGAGCGGCTGCTGGGAGGCCGGAGGGGCCCGAGGACATGTGGCGCCTGGCACTGGCCCACCTGCAGCAGTGCCCTGCCAGCTGAGGCTGGGGTGCTTGTTGTGGTTTGCCTCTGGCGGCCGAGAACCTCTGTTTGTTGTGGTGACAGTCGTCAGAGCGGCCGCACCTGAGCAGCCCTGGGCTGCCGGGCCATCTGGGCTTGGCCCTGACGTCTGTGGCCGACGGTGCAGCGGCTGGTGGCTCCAGGCCTGTTTCTGGGCCGTCTCCATGGTGGCCTCACCCACTCCCTCCGACAGCTGGCGTAGTGCCCCACGGAGCCCGTGTCACTCTTGACGCAGGCCTGGCGTCCCTGACGGCCCAGCGGGCAGGAGGCCAGGCCTGGGAGGAAGGCAGCCCTCAGCCTCCCAGTCCAGCCGCTGACGTGGAAGCGCCCTTGACGGCGGGAACAGGCCTGGGGGCATCCCATCATCCCACTCCTAGATCCCAGGCCAGAGCCAGAGGAGGGCGAGTGTGGCCGAGAGCAGAGCATGCTGGGAGGGAGGGGCGCCATGGACCCCTCCCCCCCAGGAGAGGCCTTGGTCTGCTGGGGACGGATCTGGGCCAAGGCTGCAGGGCTCCAAGCAGAGCTTCGATGTTACCACGAGGCGTCTCTGATTCTGGTCACCCCAAGCCTCGAGAGCAGAAACTGCCTGCCTGTCTGCCTGGACTTCTCTACCTCCGCGGGGAGGCCCACACTGCCGCAGTACCAAGTGTGGGCATCACAGGGCTGCCGGCCACCCGGCCCGTGCTGAGCTCCCGGCAGGTGCACCCTCGTTTGTGCTTCATCCTATGCCCACAGGTGAGGAGCCCGTGTCTGGTGCAGCAGGAGACCCCGGGCCTGCCCTTGCCACAGGGAGCTCCGTGCAGGAGGATGTTCTGAGCCTCCAAGCCCTAACCTTGCAGCCTGGGACAGGCAGCTTCAGCGGGTTGGGCCTCAGTTTCCCCCAGTCCAGTGAGGCTAAGGGCCCTTCTCGGGCTTGTCAGAGCGTCTGGGGAAGATGAGAAGTGCTGTGCCCATGGCCAGCAGGCTGCGCTCCCAGGGCCTTCGTAGCGAGACCAGCCAGTGCTGACCTCATCTTAAAGTGGGGTGAAAGCACAGAGGTCATGATGAGGTGACCCATGGCAGATGCCCAGGGGCTTCAGCTGCTGCTGTGGTTGTCATCGCTCTTGGAAGCTGTTGTTCCTAAGGCCTCCAGGTCAGGGCCTTGGGTGGGGCTGGGCTGTGGGCCTCTGGGCACAGACACCTGCAGCTGAGGCCTGGCTTCTGGGAGAGTGGCAGGTGTCTGCTGGCCTTGCCTGGCGCTCTGCTCGCCTGCCCTGGGTGGACGCTGGGATCCCCTCCCCACAGGGCATTTTGTCTACTGCTGTCTGGGCCTTGTCCTGGGGTGCCTGACCGTCCTGGCTGCTGGGCCCCATGTGTGGGTGCTGCCCACACAAATCACTAATGAGGCACCGAGGCTGCTCTACACCGTAGTGCAAGCTGACCGGAGCCCGGGTTGGAGCCAGCTCAGGGCTGGAGTCTCCTTGGCAGGTGGCACAGGGCCACACATGGTCCCCAGGCCCCAGTGGCCAGTGGCTGGAATGACTTAGTGCTCACTGGGCTGGGGCTGTGGGTGGGGGCATGGGGGGCCTGGTGGCAGGTGACAGGGCTGTACCTGGAAGTGGACAGGAAGCTTCTGTTGGGGCAGGCACGTGGCTGGCACGTGTCTGCTCTGGGTGGTTCCAGGGAGCCATATTTGAGTGCCAGCCCTGCCACCTGCCAGATGACCCAGGTAGGTCACTTCCTTCCTCTGTAGAACACAGACTGGTTCTCCCTTTCCCTTCTGTTAAGTGTCGTCTCCTTCAGGGGGACCTCACTAAGGAAGCTCCCTCCCAAGCCAGCTCAGCACCGCAAACGCTGGTCCTTCCTAGCACCCCCTGGGTGCTGCTGGCACACTCCCGTGGCTGGGCCCCTCGCCTGTCCCAGAGGGCAGGCGGGAGGGAGGTGGGTCTTTGGGGAGGGCTCTGGGACAGGCGGGAGGGAGGTGGGTCTTTGGGGAGGGCGGTGGAGACAATAACTGCAAGAGTGGGAAGGAGCCAGACTGGTTCTGGGGGCTCCAGGTCCAGCTGGAGGTTGCCTGGGGGGCCATCATCCTCCCTGGGGGGCCTGGCCAGGTCCTGCTGCAGGTGCTGGGGACCCCGGCTCCTCTCACCCCACACCCCGTCAACTAGGCGGGCAGGGTGGGAGGCGAGTGCCTTTCAGATGGGAAAACAGGAGCCCGAGGAGGCACTGTGTGTGTATAGGCAGGGGTGAGACAGTGTGCCGCGGTCCAGCCTCTAGGCGTGGATCTGCCCTCTCTGGCCCTGCAGGGCTGGTGGACTCCTTCCCCTTTCCCCATGCATTGGGGCCCCCGGGAAGCCTGGCATGGAGGGGTGAGCTCGTGCGTAGATGACAGCAAAGGCTGGCAGCCTTAGCAGCGGGGCCTCAGGCACAGCTGTGGGGATGGTGCCCGTTTCCCTATCTGTACAGTGGGTGTTACTCTGCCCTCAGTGGCTCTGCGAGGCCGAGCAGGCTCACCCTGAGCAGGCTGGGTGTGGCCTGGGAGCCGGTTCTGACACCTCCCTGCCCACAGCCAGCTCTGTCACATCACAGGCGGCCATCCCACCTCCCGGGAAGCTCGGCTGTGGGACCAGCCCTGCTCCTGACTCCTCGCGTGACCAAGGTTGCTGCTCTGCAGGGCCTGTTTCTGAATCAGAGCAGCAGGGTGGTGCGGGGCCCATTTCCGAATTGGAGGGGTGGGGTGGTGCATGCCCTCTGGAGTAGGCATATCTGTGGAAGGGAGAGTCGTCCACCCTGCCTGGGCCAGTAGGTTTCTCACCACGAGAGCCCTCTCTGGGATCAGCACCCACCCCTCTTGCATGGAGGGGGAGGCCGAGGCTGAGAGGGGCAGGGGCTGGCCTGCATGCACGGTGGTCCTGGCACCTGGGCACGGCCCTGGGACGTGAGCACTGGAGTCCCCTGGCCGGGCCGACGTGACTACACCCACTGAGGCTCAGCTGGTGTGTGCTGCAGCCCTTGGCCGGGGTCTCCCCAGCCAGCCCAGTGGGGGTCGGCCTCCCAGAGTGACCCCTGGGGAATTGAGGCTGGGGCACAGCACAGTGGGGCCCAGTGGAGCTGTCTGCCTCGGTACCCCTCACCAGGGCCACCCCAGCAAGCCAGGGAGAGACACAGCACGGCCACACCTAGGTGGCCTCGACGAGGACCCTGAACAGGAGGCTGCTGGCCTCACAGCTGTGCAGGGCACTGAGGGCAGGGTGGGCCGGGGCCTTCCTTCCAGAGCCATGCAGGGGTCTGTCCCAGCCCTCCCCTTGGCCTGTAGGTGGCATCCCCTCGCTGTCTTCCCACCACGTCTCCCGCTGTGTGTCCAGATTACCCCTTTTACACATGTATTTATAAATTTGCTGTGAGGTCATGTACTTGTCTGAGATGGGGAGAGGGTGGGAGGGACTAAGACCCCCAGGGGGATGACCACTCTGCAGTCCTTCCTCCTGCATTCTCCTTTTGGGATCTTAGGGACACACACATGCACCTGGTATGTTTTTCAAGCCACTGGTTCCGGGACTTGAGCCATGCAGTCGGCCGTGTGGGAGCCAGCACCTTAGCCACCCCACCCCTGGATGGCTGCGCACTCCCCCTGGTGTCCCTTGTGTAAGGGCAGCAGTCACACTGGGGCAGGCCCAGCCTCTGGACCTCACTCAGCTCAATTCCTCTGTGAAGACGCTGTCTCCAGATAAGGTCGTGTTCTGTGGGCCTGGGGGAGGAGATCCCGCACGTGAACCTGGGGACGTAGCCCAGCCCGCAGCAGAGCTGGGACGCAGGCCCGCTACGCGGCTGGAGTGTGGGGGCCTGTGCAAGGCCAGCTGCTCAGAGGCCGTGCAGCCTGGGGGCTGTCCGCACCGTGTGGCCTTGCCCTCGTTGCTGGTCCCTGCCAGCAGCCAAGTGCTGGCGTTCATGCACCTGCTAACAGGCATGACCCTGGGGCTGCGGCTCGTGTCCTGCCCACCGTGCTGGGAGGGTGGTGGGAAACTGCTGGCCTGGCCTGGCCTGACCTGAGCTTGGGGCTGAACATGTGCTCTGCCACCTGGGGCTTGGGGCCCCTGACAGCACTGCCTGCACCAACTCGCAGCCCAAGGTCTCCTCCAGGGTAGAAGCAGGATCACCTCTGTCCCCAACTTTGTCCAGCCTGGGGGAAGCCCTAGGGACGTGACTGGACCCGTGCCTGCTCTCTCCCCTTCCAGGGAAGTCCAGGAGGAAGAAGGACTTGCGGATCTCCTGTGTGTGCAAGCTGCCGGTGCCCAACCCCACGTGAGTGCTCCATGTCCCCGCCTCCGCCTGGGCACCACGGGGCTGCAGAGGGAGCCAGAGGGAGGTGGCCCTGCCGTCCCACGTGGGCCATGCTCGGCCCTGGAGAGACAGGTGACCTGAGGAGCCACCTCTTGGGGCCTGCACAGGCCGGTTCTCCTCTGGGCAGTGGCACCATCTCCCAGGGTGTGTTTGTGGCTTTCCGAGGCTCATGGAGTCCGCTTTCTCCACAGACCTCCCCGGAACCTGGACTCCCGGACTTTCATCACCATCGGAGACAGGGTAGGTGCTCCTGCGCTTCTAGTTGGGGCCGCTCGCTGCTTCCAATGAGCGGGTCTGGCTGGCCAGCAGGGCCTCTGTGTGGTAGCTGTGGAGGGACATGGCTGTGCTCCCATGGTGCCGGCTGTGGTCCTGGGCCCCCGACCCTCCTGTTCAGAATGGGGGCAGCAGCCTCGAGGGACTGTCAGAGCTGGCTCATCTTCCCGGAGTTTGGGCTGTGGGCCCAGCTGCTGTGTCACCGCCGAGACCTGACCGACCCTCGGCTGGCCCTGGGTGTCTGTGTTTCACCCGCTCCTGCTGCCTTGGGAGGGCACCGGACACAGAGAGTGCGGGCGTAGGGCAGGCCGTGGCTCCCCCAGACGCCCACTCCCTGGCCCCGCCCCGCCCTGGGACGCCCTCCCGGCCCTCTCGCGCCCTAATGCCTGCTGCCCGGCGTCCTGTTCGTCTCACTTGCTCCTTTATGCGTCTTTCTCAGTAGAGGGCCACCCCGGAGGAGGCCAGAGCTTTGCTTTATTCTTGCCACATTCCCAGGGCCTTCAACAGGGACTGGCATGTCGTGGGAACTCAGTCAGAGTAACAGACACCAGCAAGTCCTCTGACCAGCCGGGCGGGCCGAGGAGAGAGGGACTCCCTGTGCCGGCGGGCTATTCAGAGGCTGCTCCTTGCCTCACAGCGGCCCTGGGGTGTTGGTGCCACGCCTGTTTTGTAGAGGGTACTGTGCAACTCAGAGAGGTTGAGTGACTTCCCTGAGGCCACACAGCAGGGAGTGGCTCCAAGCCTGGGCCCAGCTTTCAACAATGGGCCCTTCTCTCTTTCCATTGCCCTTGCTGCCTTCACTGGGCGGGGGTCAGGGCCCCTCCGATGGACACATCCCCAGACTGGTTCTGCCCGGTTCTGACTAGATGGCCACCCACCTTTTTCTTTTCTGCTTCCCAAGAACTTTGAGGTAGAGGCCGATGACCTGGTGACCATTTCAGAGCTGGGCCGTGGCGCCTACGGGGTGGTGGAGAAGGTGCGGCATGCCCAGAGTGGCACTATCATGGCCGTGAAGGTAAGCAGGGCCCCCTGCCTCAACCCGTCCTTCCAGAGAGTACCAGAGCCTGCAGGCAACAGGGAGGGCTGCCTAGAGGAGGCACGGGGCTGAGGCTCTTGGTCAGCTCTATGCTGACACTGACTGTGGCCAGGGACATGCCGAGCTCTGCAGGGCCGGTCTGCAGTGCGTCCCTGAACTCCTGGCCCTCATATGATGGGGCGGGTGCTTGGCCCCACGGCTGCTCCTGAACCCCAGCTCTCCCCGCAGCGGATCCGGGCCACCGTGAACTCACAGGAGCAGAAGCGGCTGCTCATGGACCTGGACATCAACATGCGCACAGTCGACTGCTTTTACACTGTCACCTTCTACGGGGCGCTGTTCAGAGAGGTGCGAGGAGGTCCCCTGGCTTCTGCAGCTGTCTGAGGACATGCAGAGCCTGGCTGGGGCAGAGGGGGCGGGTCATTGCAGGCCTCGGTCAGAGCAACAGAAGGGACCTGTGGGGGCAGCAGACGACTCGGTGCTGAGCTGGCTCAATTGTCTAAAAGCCCCCGATGGAGGGCCAGGACTCTGGTGTTGGCCCCTCTCCCTGGGGTGCTTCCACTCGGGTGCAGGGACCAGGCCGGGGTGGCAGGGCCCTGATGGCTCCCGTGAGCCACAGGGCTGGAGAGGAGAGAAGCGAGCGGAGGAGAGGTCCAAGAGGTAGGGGGAGAGCTGGGGGCTCCAAGAACATCACGGCAAAGCAGGTGGCCGTGTGTCCAGGTGGAGGCTGGGCTGTCCTGGGAAGGCCAGCCAGGTGGTGGGGCCGGCAGGCCATGGGCTGGGAGCAGGTCTGTACCAGCCCGGCTGAGCGCTGCGTCCACCTGCAGGGAGACGTGTGGATCTGCATGGAGCTGATGGACACGTCCCTGGACAAGTTCTACCGGAAGGTGCTGGAGAAGAACATGACCATTCCGGAGGACATTCTGGGGGAGATCGCAGTGTCTGTGAGTGTCCCTGAACTTGCTGGCCAACTGCCCTGCAGCGGCCCAGCTTCTCCACCTCAGCCAGAGCTGTCTGCAGCTCCTGGAGCCCTAGATTTGGTGTTCTGCCCTGAGGCAGCTCAGAAAGGTACCAGCTAAGGTGGGGAAGGGTAGCCTCCAGAGTGTTTGCTTTTAGTTTAAATGTACTTGACAAAGGCTGCATCACTGGGCTTGAGCATCCCAGTAGCCAATGGGAAAAGAGAAATAGACTCAGTGGAATTGGTATTGCTGAGTCCTGACTGCACCTGGAAATGCCAAAACAACCCTGGGCCTCAAGCTCCCCCAGGCATCTTCCAAGGGGGAGATTCTGAGGCTCCTGGTAGCTTGGCCATGGTTGAGAGGAGGAGGAGGGGGCTAGGGAGTCTGTGGAGGGGTGGGTTTTTACCTAAGAAGGACCTGGTAAGTGGCCCTTGGGTTCTCCATGTGAGGGAAACAGGAGGACGGGTGGGGTCAGGCGCTCTGCACTGCGGTGACTGGAGTAACTGACTGTGTCTCTCCCTCCTCCCGCCCCGTGGCAGATCGTGCGTGCCCTGGAGCACCTTCACAGCAAGCTGTCCGTCATCCACAGAGGTCAGTGCCCAGCAGGGTCTAGTGGCAGGGGGTGCACATGCGTGACGAGGGCACGGCACCCTGCTCTCAGGAGTGGAGGAGCGGGCTGCCGTGCAGACCAGTGCCAGGTTGTGAGGTGCCCATTGGAATCCAGGTTGCTCTCCACCCACCCCAACCACAGTGCTCAGAGCTGGGACTAGACCAACTACTGCTCTTCCGGGAAAGACGGGCTGGTTTTGGCTTTTTTGTTTTTTTTTTTTAAGTTTTCATTTGTTTCATGAAGCAGAGAAAAGAGACCTAGATACCCTGACTGGCTTCACGCTGTGACCCAGCCACAGCCAGCCTGGATTATGGGCATGCGTGTGCCCGGTACTCAGGAAGTCTTCAGACTTGAACCTGGAGCCTGCCCACGTGGGTCAGCCTTCTAGAAGGTGGCATTTTGCCAGTGTGTACTGGTTTTTGCTTTGGCGTAAGGTTCGCCGAGCGGGAAACGCACAGGCCATCCAATAGGTCAGCCCCATGTGCGCTCCCACCTACTCAGTGTTCTCGGTCCCCCTCCACCGAGCGGCTCTGCGCGTTCTCCTCTAGCCTCTCAGGGCCATGCTGGGCTCACCAGGTTGCGGGAGGTGCAGCGCGTGCCTCTCAGCGCCAAGGGCCGGTCGCATGCCCAAACTCGCTGCCCTGCAGGAAACTGGCGAGGCTCATCCCCCGGCCACTTGGTGCCCATCCTAGTACCCACCCCAAGTCACCACGGCTGGCAGTTTGGCATGGAATCTTCCGGTCTCTTCCCCACACATTTGTATCCTCACACACGTGTGCCCCCAGAGAGCACTGAGGTGTATGTCACTGTGCTTGTCACCCACTGTGAGTCTGTGGGGGGGCTCCAGGTCCCCTCACTGGCCTCACACCCAGAGCACAGTGGTGGACAGGCGCAGCTCCCTGAGTGGGGCGCTAGGGCCCTGCCTTCCCCTCGCGGCCGGGGCTGGCTTTGCTGGCCGGGGGCGTCCTGGCAGTCCGCTACGTGACCAGGGCCAGTGCAGCCTCCGTCCCCACGTGGGATCCTTGGGCTCTGGTGGAAGCTGCCGGCTGGGCCACGTGAACGTGGCTGGGGATGCGACTGAGAAAGGTGTGCCCGCCCCGCAGACGTGAAGCCGTCCAACGTCCTCATCAACAAGGAGGGCCACGTGAAGATGTGTGACTTCGGCATCAGTGGCTACCTGGTGGACTCCGTGGCCAAGACGATGGACGCTGGCTGCAAGCCCTACATGGCCGTGAGGGGGCACGCTGCCCGGCGGGGGGGGCG